GAGCCGAATCCATCAGTCGCTCATCAACGACTGGCGAATGGACTCGAATTATGGAAATTGATGATGAGTGATATGGTGGAATCTAAATGCCAGCTGTGAGATTTTGAAAAAATATCTCGAATGAACGAAGCCCTCTTGAGTCAATCGGATAATCCAATCATCCGTGAAGCTAATTAGGCGATATTCATAAATGACGGTATAAAAAAAAAATTGATTCGAGCTCGAATGCATCTCGAGGAAAGTCGACTTGAATGAAATCGATCATTGACCAGAACTCAGAACAACTTCTTTCATCTGTAACAGCTAAAATGCCGGTGCTTTTCCCTGTTAAAGTGCACGATGAAAAAACTAATTAAGAATATAAAAGAAACAGTAATCTCCAGCCACATAAACGAGTAAAAAATGGAGGAAGACAGTCTCGTTTTCGAAGACCCCGCATTTAAACCCAGTGGTATTGTGTGTAACAGCCGTGTTAAATCGACCATGAAAACGATTCTTTTGAAGCGAGTACTAGCGAGAAACAAAGAATAAGAAGAGAGAAAAAAAAAGAAAGAATCAGTCCAGGTGATGGCAGTACTTCCGAGACAAACAATGGATTCAATGTTAAAGTACTCGGAGTCCAGTTCGACAGTGTGAGTTAAGCGGCTCGCGATGATAGCGAGAGATTATGAATTCCTCTCGAGTCCTGAAAACGAGGGAATTCAGGCGGATGGACCATTGGATCTTGCACTTCCTTTGACTGAGAATCTCGAGTGAAAATTCAAGACGAAAATATGTCTGACACAGCGAAGGAGAAACCCAACAAGTTTTCTCTACCCAGTCATAACCCACCCAAAAACCACTTCTTCTAGTGGAGGTTCTTCCCGCATATTAATTATTGACGCTCGTCTGGAACCCTCAGACCTTTGCCCCTTTCTCTTAAACATTTGACGTGAAATAGGCGCCTCCTCGCCATAATAAATTTTATCTATTGTATTATTAAAATCATTCAATTAAAATTTTAACGCATCAAAAAACTTCGTCAAAGCACTCTCCCTGTAATTGAATCTGAATTATTTGACTAAAATCCATAAATTGTCAGAAATGTTTTGATTGAACAAAATAATGTGAAGTGATCTGAATTTTAACGAAAAATGTTTTACGTTATTCAAACAAATAAATCGATTGGACGATTCATTGAGAATGTCAAGAAACTTCAATAATTCACTAAATTAATATGATGAAAAAAATCCAAACAATGAGGAGCTTTAAAACCTAAATTGCCCCGCGGCTCAACCCTTAATCACTCACGGTAATGTCCCATAAATCGAACACAAGCCATTTCCACAATTTTCCCCCAAACCACATTTTCCCAGGATTATCCTCATAGAGGGGCCCTCACCATCCCACCGAAAAGCATCTGGCGTACCTCCGGTGGAGTAAGGATGATAAGTCAACGCCTCGGCATATATTCGGTGGCCATAGAATTTAATAACGACGAGAAGCCCCTCTTCCGCGAGGTGAGTCTGTCCCCTGCCTCGCGACTATTCCCTCCAATCCCCTTCTCCATCCTCTAGACATGGATGTAATCTTGGTCTAACTCGTACGTTTAAGAAGACGGGAGGGACACATTCCACCGGCTAACAAACGTTCACCCCCTTCGCATCCCCCCCTCACAATCCACCAACCATCCACCCACCCACCCACCGTTTAGTTCTCCCTATTTTCAAGCCCTCATCGTTGCACTCCCACCACCCAGCAATTCCAAGGTATCTCCAACACGACAGGGGAACGACATAATTCTAATTTTATTGCCAGTACCAGGCGTGCACCGTTGCCCGTTTCAGGGGCGGTAACAAATTTATGAGCAATTTTTCTTATTAATTTTCGTAAGTTCGACATGTGAGGGGCACCTTTTGTCAAGCGAGGCCCGACAAAGGGCCACCACTTTGTATACATAACTGGGTGAGTTTTGAAACAGTGTAAGAGCCAGTAGAAAACCCTCAACATCATCTCGTATCTACACGTAAAAGTCCTTCCCTTCGGGTTTATATTAAAAAGACTCATCCCTACTACTCTATACCAATGCAAAATCGCAGTTATGGGGGCTGTAACGCTCACGGAGATGATGAGGTTTACCATTTTTTTACGAGTATACTTCTGACGGAATTCTTTGGCTCACTGGTTTTTTAAAACTCCGAGTAGATAAACTGACGGTGGATGAGAAAAATTGCGGGATTGAGATTAAAAATTCTTTTCGTAAGTTTTCAGTTACTCCGGGCAGGGGGGGAAGTGATTGTAATATTGTTTTTTTTTCGGAAGGAAAAAATTTCATTACGGAGGTTATTGTGAGCCGGACGGAGCTCCGGATTTATTTTTTTTTTTTTGACGAGGCGATATGCCGGTGACACTGCGGCACGTGTTGCATCGGTCGAGGGTGGGTATCGCAGGGGGTAGAGGCCCCTTTTTTTGGGGGTATTACACGCGAAATCAGCGGAATTAGGTGGTGGAGAATTTTAATCACTCACCGGTGTTGCGTGGAAACAGCAGATCGGTTTCAGCCTCTGGAGTCAGCTTCCGGTGGTGGCCCTGCGGTGTTGTCCATCCTTTTGAAGCACTCACTTTTCAAGCACTCACTTTTCAAACACTTTATACTCTTTGAATTCTTTAAACACTTCATACTGTACTCATGCATCATTGCGCGATGCTGTAACTTGATTTTTTAATTCTAGACACTTACGGAAAGTATTTATCGATCGAATCGGATGCAATGGAACTTTTAGACTGGAAGCAACGATTCCGAAACAGCGAGAATTCTATACGTTTTAACACTCACTTTAACACTTTAACACTTTGATCATAGACTGCTTCTTAGTCAGTTCAGCTGTCATCTCAGAGATTGTCTGATCCTTGAAGGATCATCCAATCTCTAGAATCATTCAGCCTCCCCTGAGCTCCTCCACCAACGACAAGGTGTTGCAGTCCCTAGGAGGAGATTCAAAAATATTCATCAACAATTGATACTCAATTTGCTGGTCAACTGTGAATGTTGATCCTCGATTGAAGGACACGATTGGAACATAAAACAATCTCCAAAATCATTAAACCTCCCCTCAGCCCTTCTACCAACGACAAGGTGCTGCAGTCATTAGGAAGATATCGAAAAATATGAATCATCAATTGATATTCAAGTTGCAAAGTCAACGACCAGTGTTGACCCGTCATTAACATCGGCATCGGCTGTAAAACAGATTAATTGCCCTCCAACTTCCGTGAATTGACGATGGGGGTCTTGTCCAGCAGTAATGGCGCGGACAACGGAAACTAGCCTTGGCGACGATTCGATGGACACTCAATGGACCGCAGGAGGTTGCTAGGTAGACAGTGGGATCGAAGTAACAGTGGACGATAGAGAACAGTTTCCCCACCGGACACACCAAGCATATAACCCCGGGTGCACCAACTGCGTCCTGTCACCCGTCAATATATCTCTCAACGATCGAATACCCGGTGCAATATGTTTCGCATTTCGATTTTCGATTGTGCATTCTCGTTGCTAGTGCTTTTGGTGTGTTTGTTGAGCCAGTGCATCCGGAGGAGAGCTTACAACTGGGCATTCATTCAAACTACTTCCTACATTTCAATGAACCCAGTCAATCCTCAAGCTAAACTCGAGATTAATATTGTCTGCGAGGAATTCAAATACATCCAAAGCTTCAATCAACATGAATTTTTTGATAAACCTTTTTTATTCAGCAACATCTGTATTGCTGTAATGAAAAAAAATATTGTTTCAGTTTTTTTGAGAATTGAGGAAATCTCGGGATTCAAAAGTAATTCGGTTTTTAACTGGCAAGTAAACGAATGATTTTCTGGTATATTCATTCTTTCGGAATTGCGGAAATTATAGATCAATCCCTGGAAACGAAAACTTTTTCTACGAACAATTTCAAGTAATGTCTGAAGCAATGCACAAGTTTATGAACGAACTACTGGGATTTAAACCCAGAAAGAGTTACCGCAAGTCTCCATCGTGGGCAAACTGAGAAGTTACTGAGAAAGTGAGAAAACAGAGTGAAAGATAAAGGCGCTGGATCATTTAGCGAATTAACAATTATAATACGCGATTAGAATTCTTGTCCATTAGCATAAGCGGGCCGTCAGTGGCACTGGAAAAGTTCGAGTGCTCGCGAGTGGTGGGCGCCACACTGGAATAATTTTAACGTTCGGGGTTTTAAAATCCTCTACCTCCCACTTTCCATCCTGAAAATCCTGGATGCGACCAGGAAAAACGAGAGAATCAGCATGAAGAATGTACCAGGAAAAGCGCAGTGGGAAAATGGATTGATGGATTGGACGAAAGCTTTTGCGTCATTCACATAAAGTTATTCAATCGAGATTATGCAGATCCGCGGGAAAATTCAGCTTGGAGTTGTTAAAAAATCGTCAAAGTGCTGATTTTATTTTGGCTGATGGCACTTTGCTTCCAACATCCACAATCTTCTCATAATTGTTTTCAGAACAACACGGAAGATGCGGAAAAATACCACCACATTATTCGTGTTGATGAACTCTTCATTTTTGCAAATGGAGAGTGATTCGACGTAAAAAAAAGATGGATTCCCTTGATGGTAAAACAAACAAATATCCCATGGTTTAATTCCAGTCTGCACTCTACACGCGCATGAGTTATTTTAATGCGGAAAGTATGGAGATTAAAACATCGGGCATCCAATCCTGACCGCGGAAAATGGTTCGTTTTGGTGGTGAAATTTTTCAACGGTTCAATACCTCTCACTGCGTGCACTAAAGATTTAGAAGAGGTAATAAAAAATCCTATCATCGGATTTATACAGAGATGTGTTTTTGCTATAGATATTTTGGTCGAGTGCATTGATATTTCGTTTTGCTATCAACAGTCTCTCCCTTTCTTAATACAGATAAGCTACCGACCGCGTGCACTTAAAACAGTTGATAATCTAGAAACCAAAGGGTTCCGCCATCCGAAGTTTGATCAATACTCCAGTTCCACCAAATTCAGAGTTCACGTATAAATTCAATATTTTAAACTACGAGTACTAACAATACGTAATTAAAATGTGGAGTGAGCATAAGCGAAGGAGTCGTAGCGCCATCGCAGGAAAATCAAATCTCAGATTTGTACCGAGAACGAAGTAAGTCCTTCAAAATATATTCAAAGTCGGGGCAATAATGATTAATAAATTCAAAGATGGGACTTACCGAGGCAGAAGTCGAAATCTTACTGGAAGAACGTGTTCGAGGACCTGGACAGCCGCCACTCAAAAGTATCCCAGCCTTTACTTTCTTTATTCCCTCCGTATTTAGGTATTCCTCCAGAAAGTAGCGCCAGCATTCGTGATCAGCCAGCCGTGGTCAAGCCAGAGACTCCAGACGTGAAGACAATAATTATGACGCAGGAGCCTATCTTTAAGATCTCGCCACCGTCTCCATCGCATAATGGAAATGACGGACTGTTAGCATCCAAGTCTCTGGCAGGTTCCCTGGAGTATCTGAAGAGTCACGACATAAGTAATTTTGATCTAGATCACTCACCGGAGAAAGCAGGAACAAAAGAAGAGAAGCCGGTGGATATCCTTAAGGATAAGGCGAGTCCCCAGGTGAAGGCGCCATTGAGTCTATCAGCGATCGGTCAGATATCTCAGCTGACAAGAATATCTAGGTACGTCAATGACTTTCTGGCTAGTACGAAGATCAAAATGAAGTCCATCGGCTCAAAGAATTACGTCCATCCAGAGCCTGTAGCGACTTGGGAGATTGTTGGTGAAGCTGATGGCGCCATCGAGGGTAGCCGGATTGAAGAACCCCAAGAGGCTCCTAGAGAAGCTCCAGCTGCAGTTGAACGGGAGCAAACTGTAGAAGAAATACTACCAAATGATGAGCAAGCGATCATTCAGCAGAGGCACGTGATATTCGAAGAAACAGAAGACAATGTAGAAGCATTCGATAATTCCTTTGGAAGGGCTCCACGTGCACGGGCTCCTAGTTTGGGTGTAGCTAGTCTGGTCCCAAGCTTTGGACGGATGATATCTTCCCTGGAGTACTCGGATTCGGTCGGCAGTCGGTCTTCGATCGAAAGCCCTCCGGATGACTTCAATACAACGGAAGCAAGTCCTCCGAGATCGCCAACACTTCGTCAAGCTACCGATGCCAAGTCTAGGTTTTTTCTGGAACCACCGGCGGTTCAGTATCCCAGCAAAAGTGCTTATCCGGATGACAGAAGGTTTTTAGACTCCAGGTCCAGATTTTTTGGAAGCAGTCCTGCCAAAAGGCAGGGAGGGACCAGAGGGTATCGGCACTGGCCTCGACGGACAATTGTCAACACCATTCGAGCCCTCAAAACCATGAAGGCAGGTACCATGAGAAGCGGACATGTCCAACGGAAGCAGATGACGTTTGGTTCTTCTTTCGTTATTGAAGGACCTTCAACTATTGAGAAATCATCAAGTTCTAGTGTGGAACAGGAGACAGTCGGTCACTCACCGGATATGATTTCTCCAACCGTTGGAAAGGACAGACTGGCATCAGGGAGTTCGACAGGTTCATCGAACCAAACCACTGATCAGGCGGTTTTCAGAACAGGTCCAGGAACATCGCCACTCGAACAACCGAAAATTATTTCTCTCGCACACAAGCCTGCATTCAAACTTGACGATTTACCTCCAATAGGCGGAATGTACCAGCGAAAGAAGAGGAACAAGTGTTTGGCATGCATGTGCAGGGCAAATATCGAGCTCGAACCAGTGGTCAGTCCTCCTGATGGAATTTACGAGAAGTTGCCTTACAAATCAGTTCTTGCTGAATTCGAGAATCTACTGACAACGAAGTTCATGGAGAAAGTTAATAGAGCACGGGTCCAGTCTGAACTAATGACTGATGATGAAGTCACTCCTCTCTCTGAAGACGTGAAACTCAGTAAAAAAATTAATGACTTTGACGAGAATTTAGAGAGAAAACCAATGAGGGCGAGTCCATTAGAGAAGAAATTTACGCAGGGGTCGATGAAAGATGATCTCGTTTCTTCAAAGTCATTTGTATCGACGCTATCTCTCACGTCAGATCAGTCCAGAACAATTTCCGAGCAGGAGGATTCTGATCACTCGGGTTTAGAGCCACCCGCCGAAGGCGGAGAGGAACTTCCCGGTGCTGGTTCCAAATTTCGAGCACCTTGTCATGCTCCATTGAATTTGAGACCCAGTCTCGAGCCTTTAATGATGATGAAGGGGAAGAAATCCAAATCGATACAGTCGCGTTCGGCCTCTCTCGAGAAGTCTCTGGACGAGGGGAGCGACGGAGAAAGCGATGCTGACGAAGATGATGATGTTGAAGAGACAATTCCTAAAGGAGCCGAACGAGAATCAAAACGCGCATCTTCACCTTTGAAATCTTCAGTTAGACAAATATCAGAGGAGAAAACGGATGAAAAGAAAGATCAGGTTGATGGAACAGATGTGATGAAATCAAATAAGGGACCATCAGAACCCGAACCCCAAAAACCATCACCTGAACAAACGCCAACACCCGACCGAATAATCAGCTCAAATTTAGCTGAAGTATCTTTATCTGATCGAATCTATCGCCAACTGCAGGTAAAAATTAGAACGGAACACAATCCTAGCGATTCCTTCCGCTCTGTTTCCCCAGTAATGTCAGACTCCGAGATCATGGAGATCGTGGGAACGTCTCTAAACACGGATCGCTCCGTCAAAGACATTCTCTTTTCACTACTGGAAGAATACTCGCGCCGACTATTATCAAAAATCCCTAACAATACTTCCTCCGGAGACTACAACGCCCACAAAATCATCAAACTGACGAATCGTCTGCTGGCGCTACTAGTAGACTCCAAACTTTATCTCAATCCCGAGCTCACCGCTTCTAACCTAGAATTTTCCTCCAAACAGAAACCTTACTGCAACTCCCAGCAACTGAGGCGATTCCTTCCCTTCAAGTCCTACAACCTCGTTGCCCCCATCCTAGGAATGCCAGAGTGGCACCCGAAACGCTGGTCCGCCTTGAAGAGCGCCAGAAGTCTGAAAGCCCTCAAGTCAAAAAGGGTGACAATGGCAATGGCGAATGCCTCATCGGTATCCGTCATCTCGAGACAGACGGAAAGTGCAGACGACGTCGACCTGATCGTGAGTAATTCACAACCATTACTACCCTCAGCTAAGCAGGGTCCTGCTTTATGATCAGGTGCACCCTCCATCACTGCGGACGTCTCTCGACGAGGACTTCCGCAAGCAGAAGAAGCCAAATCCCTACGCCGCCTTCCTCAGCAAGCCACGGCGAAAAGTAAGCTTCATTTCCTACTCATCATTCTTGTCCCAGAATTCACTTGAAACAATATCGACTAGGCGGTGATCTGGCGACCTCTGGTGATGCGAGACCTCGAGGGCTACGACCCAGAGTCAGCACTGAAGAACCGAGCTGCCAGAGTAACCGACAAAATCTGCAAAGACTTCTGCGACTGGCTGAGATCCCTCGGCGGTGCTCACGACACCATCGACGAGGACATCCTCAAGGATATGTTCGAGACGGACTTCACGGCTGAAGCGTGCAGAACGATGCAGGTAAAGAGACGTCACTCAGAATGAGATAAGCTAGGCTCCACCGTAGATTTGGTGCACAGATTGGCGAAGAGGATTGACTAAAGTAGAGGCTAATTTTTCAATTTCAGTGAATATCTCCTCAATTTTCCTGCTCCCCTAACACTTTTCCAAAAATTTCGAATTTTCAAATTTCAGTGAATATCGCCTCAATTTTTGTAAAAAAATGTCGAATTTTCAAATTTCAGTGAATACCTCCTCGATTCCTATGCTCCCCTGATAATTTTTCAAAAATTTCGAATTTTCAAATTTCAGTGAATACCTCCTTGATTTCTATGCTCCCCTGATACTTTTTCAAAAATTTCGAATTTTCAAATTTCAGTGAATACCTCGTCGATTTTCATGCTCCGCTGATACTTTTCGAAAAAATTCGAATTTTCAAATTTCAGTGAATATCGCCTCAATTTTTGTAAAAAAATTTCGAATTTTCAAATTTCAGTGAATACCTCCTCGATTTCTATGCTCCGTGATACTTTTTCAAAAATTTCGAATTTTCAAATTTCAGTGAATACTTCCTCGATTTTTATGCTCCCCTGATACTTTTATAAAAATTTCGTATTTTCAAATTTCAATTAATAACTCCTTGATTTTCATGCTGCCCTGATACTTTCCGAAAAATTTCGAAATTTCAAATTTCAATAAATACCTCCTTCATTTCTATGCTCCTCTGATATTTTTTGAAAATTTTTCATTGTTCAATTACAGTGAACACCAATATCGTAACACAGAAAATAAAATTCACCCAGTTGACTGGTCCCTCTGACAGCGGGACTACTACTGAGGCAGTTACCGGAGTCGGCTGACGGGCAGACCCCCCACTATTGGGTCCGGCCCCCTCTTTCTCCTGGGGTGGGGTGCTCGCGCAGAACTGAGCCGCTCAGTGGGGGTTTGAGTGACCCCACCGGCATTGCAGTACCTCACCCCAAGAGAAAGAGGGGGCCGCACCCAATGGTGGGGGGCCTGCCCGTCAGCCGATTCGGTAACTGCCTCAGTAGCAGTCCCGCTGACAGAAGGACCAATCGACTAGGTGAATTTTATTTTCTGAAAATTTTTAATTTTTCAATTTCAGTGAATACCTTCTCGATTTTCATGCTCCCCTGGTACTTTTCGAAAAATTTCGAATTTTCAATTTTCAGTGAATACCTCCTCGATTTTCATCGTCCTCTGATGCTTTTATGAAAATTTGGAATTTTCAAATTTCGGTGAATACCTCCTCGTTTTTCATATTCTCCTGATACTTTTTTTGACAATTTTTAATTTTTCAATTTCAGTGAATACCTCCTCGCCTTTCATGCTCCCCTGATACTTTTCGAAAAATTTCAAATTTCAGTGAATACCTCCTCCATTTCGATGCTCCTCTGATACTTTTTTGAAAATTTTTCATTTTTCCTAACACATAAAATGAAATTCACCCAGTTGACTGGTCCCTCTGACAGCGGGACTGCTACTGAGACAGTTACCGAGTCTGCTAACGGGGCGACACCCGCATTGCGTGTGGCACCCTCCCTCTCTTGGGGTGCAGTACTACGATGCCGCTGGGGTCATTCAAACCCCCAGAACTGAGCCTCCACTTCAGTGAATCCTCTTTGGTCGAGGGTATATTGTAATTTCTCTCCAATTCACCTCTTTTATCGACCCTTCAGGTCTGCATCAGAGAAATGCCTATGGTACCGACTGTCGTGGCAGCCATGAGACATTGCCCAGAGAGCGGTGAGCCCGAAGTTACCCGACGGCAACTTATCAGGGACGTCCGGGCAGAGAGAAAACCACCGAAAATCCTGGGCTTTGGATCGACGGTGCCCCATCATCTGAGATATGTACCACCCAACAATAACGTCCACGATAAATGGATCCACTGCGCGAGTGTTCCCCAGGACTTGGAGAGCATGAGCTTCGTCTGGCAGGATATCACGCATTTGGACAGCGTCAGGGGATTCTCTGATTGGCTTCGCAACCAGTCCAATGTTCGTATTCTTAGTAAATGGTCTTCTTGATCAATACCAAGGGATTTTTTTATGATTCTGCGAGCAGGTGAAGCTGCCAGTGGCGCTGCTGAGGGTGAAAAAGACGAAAGGGGCAAAAAGATAAAGGGAAAAAATAGAAGAAAACTGAAATCCTTTGGCTATTCAAGAGTCATGAATTCGAAGCGGTTACTATTGATGAGTACCACTCCACTGATTGCTTCCAATTTGTTAAACCGAGTTCACACAATCACTGGGGAATATGTGCCCACAACTTTGAATTTGTTGATCAAACTATTGGAGAGTTATAATGATGTTTCATTGGGAATATATCCGAAAACTTTTGATCCCGATAAAATTCGGATTTTGCATGAACTTTAATGAATATGAAACCTAATCCCACCCCATTGAATATTGATCGAGTGTCTGTTTGGTACCTTCCCTATTCGCCAATCCTATAAATAAGGTGAGACAGAATGTCAAATACGGAGCGGTAAGATCTGCATCTGTCTGTGACAAGGAGTCAACGTGGGTGTTTACGAGGTTGGAAAGTGTCTCATTAAACGTTTTCATCCGTACCGTTATTATCATTATCATGCTCCTCATTTTACGATTACCCTATTTGTTTCCAGCATGCGATGAAAGGAAAAAAAAAATACAGACTCACCTCTACCGCATGATTTCACACACACCCGAAAATTCATTCGGAAATTAGATGGGCTGGACTTCCGGTGCGCTCATTAGTTCATCGAATCCATTGTGCCACCAAGTTCGCATGTAGTGACGCCCAGGTCGACGCTCTATATCTGCTTTCTAACTAGCCTCCTCTCAGCTTGAAACCATCAGCTTCCCATTGTCCTGCAAATCCGGTATATTTATATCTTCAAAAAGTTTGACACTGAGATTGGTCCATTGTCATATCCTGTAAACACACAACATCTCAAATAAATTTTTCATATTTTTACACATCACTCTACCCCATCTTTATAAATTCAAAGGATTAAACACTGATTTTTTAAATCCATCCGTGCTACGAAAAAAAACGTTGCACCGGCGCTTGATTAGATTGACTCCGATCCTCCGGGAATACATCACCCAGAGTAGAAAAAAATCACCAACGAGCTGTCGATAAATTTTCGCGTCGATACTCAAAGGCCAGTGCTTGTTTTTCCTTCACCGTGATTCTATTTATTTATTCCTTTTTCTTATCAGAGAGTTGATGGAATCCGCCCCTCCAGTTTCGGGATTAACAAAGGGATAACCCTGGAATATAACCCGGAGAAGATGAAGTGCCCAAATTAATTCTAAAATCTCCACTGATACTTCAGAGACGAGAAAGATTTCTCGGTGAAAAAAAATCCGACAATTACTTCTAGCAACTATCGATTCTCATTATTCTAAATTTAATACTATTATAATAATCGTCTTAGCATCAGGATAAATTAACGAATCAAAATGAAATTTCCCTTAACTTCTTTGATTATAATATAAATAATCATTTATTTCCATCTGTATTTTCATTTATTTCATCATTCCATATAAATATGTGAATTCAATCAGGAATTAAATTTCAATAAATTTAATTAACGATCAATATTACATTCCACAAGCGGACAAAAATGCATATTGAAACATCGCCTATAATTTCGAGAAGATAAAATGGAATGATTAAAATATTTCTAATTGCAATTTCAAAATTTAACGTCAGGAAAACGTAACGAAAAAATGAAGAGCGTGAGTAATGGTTTTCTTCTCTCGTATCACCGTGTGTTTTAGGATATAATGTAATCATCCAGATGTTATAAATTGTACTTCACACGGATAATATAAACACATGTACCCATGCTCAATCCGCATAAAAACCGAACTACCTTCGACTTCCACATCCGGTCTGACCCGGAAGGCCGCTCCCCGCGTTTCACGTCAGGTCACAGTACACCAACACAATTCGCTCATCATACGCACACACCCCCGCAATAATTCGCATTTACCTATTACCGCACGAAGGAGATTGAATAAGAAAAAAATAAAATAAAATAAAACTATATATACGAGACAAATAAACGAGGCCGAAAGAGGCCGGGCTTCAGGCGAGGCTAATCAGTCTTTCCGTTGATGCCATTCGGATCGCATCGAGTTGCCACTAACAGCTCCTCATTACGCAATAATTCCCATCAGCATTCGATTTTCATCCCAAAATGCTAAAAGAAATTACGAGAACAATAATAACAGCAACAAAATCTACCGTCTATTTGTCATCATTAAAAATTCACGAAACACTGAGATGATTCCATCGTAATTACACCCAAAATCCCTCAAAGAGTTTTAAACCCCAATTTGTAAATAGTCTTTTCATTTTTTTTTTTTCGAGGGTAAAAAAATAACAATGAACATATCGGCGCTATGTCGGGGTGACGAATGCCCGACGCACGTGACTCGATCAGCGGCGACAACCCCCACTGTGAAATCATACAGACAATTGGACAAACGGACAAGCGTGAAGTGTTACTAAAGTACGCTCGATTACCCACGATATTCGTTCGTACACCCTCGGTGTGCGGTAATTAATACGACTGAGGGATCTCCATTGAGAGGTAAAAATTGATCAGATCAATTGAGTAGAAGAACCACGAGAGACTATTGATGTTTGAACAGGTGCATAGTAATCGTGATAACGTGAATAATTCCATTGAGATTCTAAGATCTACATTGTGAGATAAAAATTGGCCAGATGATTGAATCGAGAAGAATCATGAGAGAATCCACGATTGATGTTTGAACAGGTAATCCTCAATGAACTAGTCAATTCCAATTTCTAATGTTATGAATCAATTGGTTATGAGAAATTGCTATTTCTGATACACCCCAGACCCGTGACAACATAAATAGGAAAATAATTCCGTAATCTTATCTGCATATATGCATAGAAATAACCCCGTAAATGTACTTCCGAAGAAGGTACTCAAGGGGACGAATCCGTCAGTACGTAGAGTAGTTGAAAAGAGAGGGATGTGCAGTAGGTGGTCCAGATATCCCTCGGACGGATGTACACGTGTCGACGTATGTAATTTGCATAGGTAGAACGTGGTCAAAGGATTTACGTTGCTACGGTAGAGGCTGAGTTGTGGAGAGCATTGGACCTGGGTCAGATTCCAATGTGCGGAAAGAATTTATGGTTGTCAAAGGAGGGGCTATTTGCAGAGAGAACTTCTGTGATGATAAAAAATTTCATGAGCCGTCACGACGTTCCTCTTTTTCCACATTTTCACGATTTCTCGTACCACTCAACTCAGAATTAGAATACACTTGAGAACAATATCTATCAGATCTGTCAGATTCTATTGACTGGACGTATTCGATTGAGAATTATTTTCCCATTTGTGAAACCGGGAACTCAGGTATAAATATAACAAATAATATTTCATTCAACTGTTGGCCAATTCTAACTGTATTCGATTCTATTCCATTTTTCCGGTGGATGAGCAGAGAATTGTTTGAGGCAATTGAGCATTTGGTAATAGTTAGCGAATTGCTGTTGACTCAACGCACCATCTAGTTGAGGCCCATACTGCATCTCTGCTCAGACTAACAACTAGCTGCTCGATATCTATTACCTAATCATCCAGTTGGTATTATTTAAATGCACTATTAGGTAATAGTTACCGAGCCTGTGTAACATTAACCGAATCCTTCTATGAGTGCAGGTCGTCAGGCTATCGTCCAGTTGATTTTGGAAAGCTTTAAAATTGTTGTTGCAATTGACGTAATAAGTTGAGCTGAGTATTTGAGGAATATCTCCAAATCTGGTGGAGATAGCGATGATTTCGTAATAACCTTTTTTGTAGCTCTGAGTCAGCCGAACAAAAAAGGCTCTAATGAGGATTTTGAGATCTCCCTTTAATTCCGAGATATTTACTAAAACCTTAACAACGGTGACGATACACTTGAACCACTTGGCTACTGAGGTTCAGAGGGGAATGAATAAATATTCTATACCTGGAGGACGCGATATTGATCATAAGGTACCTGTCACATCCAAAAGACATTCTCGAGAACTGACCGTACGAATCTCCATCCCGATTGACTCAGTTGGAGCTCTCCAGGATGAAGGGAAATTAAATTCTTCCCTCTGTCCGTACTTGAGCGTCCCACTCGCCTCCATTATCCTGCAACTGTGCACGCATACCAGTTTGTGCTCCACTTCCATTATCAAATCAGGCTTTAGCTTTCGTGCGCATTGGATACCGTACTCAGGATACTGAAGGTTAAGGAGATAAATGCCAGAGTCAATAACGAATTTCACCCGGTCGTCATCAGCCAAAAACGAATGGAAGAGTAAAAATAAAATGAGAGCCCCAGGGTAGTCAAACCTTCCCCACATCTCCGAGATGCAATAGTTCGGGTGAATGAGCTCGGGTGTCACAGCCCCTGAAGGCAAACCACCACCCCCTCCTCACCCGGCCGGAAAAAGCAATTTTTTAAATATTCATTTTGCATACTCAATACACAATCAGTTTTATGCATAAGCAGTGGGGAAACTAATGATAACCTCCCGGCGTAGCTTCAACTTCGGATATGTTCAATTTCTGAGATAAAGAGACACCTACGGCAGTTTGTGCTCTCCACCTCCAAACATTCGGTCGAAATACAGACAATTCCGTGGAAAACAGTTGCTGTTTGAGAGGAAAGCAACTACAAAACCATAAACGATGAAAATCGAACATCGAGAGCTCTCGAACACTCGTTCAAGTGACCCGGGGTCTCGATTTGCCGGGATCATAAGCCGTGATAAGGGATTACCAGGGGTATGATAAAAAATTGTTGATACCTGGAGTTTCAGCAGTAAAATATACATTGCTTCTGAATTCATTTCTCTGCTTGATAACATCTTCGGTCCTCCCTGGCTTTTTATCCAACCAACTTCTATCCAACAATTTGAAATAAGACTTGATAACACTACCGCCGGATCCAAATAGGCATCCATGAAAAATAAAAGGAAGAAGTCATTACCGGAAGATGCAATATTGCCAGCCATTCGGCCAACTTTCGATTGAAAAGTTTAGAAAAAAACAGCAATTAGGATGATAAAGCCGATAATTCTGTGCAACAATTGCTTGTTCATAATTAGTTGGAAAAATACAATGGCTGGGATTTACCCATGCTTCGGATAAAAATACCCAGCGAAGATGAGATTAAACTCAAACAATTTAACTGTCACAATGAATTTAATTGATTTTCGGTGGGTGTTTAATTGCGGAATTGAGTGAATTTTATATAGGTCAATCGGGGTCGACTGAAATTATTTGAATATTGGGGGTCAACAATTTCAGGAAATTAACTTGGCCAAATTATTTGAAAATTGTCGATCTGACGAGTGGAGGGAATTCGTTCTAGATATATTCCACTGGTCGTATAATACGTCATTAGATGGTATGATAATTTCACGACTACCAGAATATGGAGACGCATTGATCGAATCCGGGATCGAGGGTGAAAATAAAATGTTCGATTCTACCAATAGGGTAATTACGAGTAATTTATATTACTCACTATTGACATGTAAATGATTCCCGTCCGTGCCACCTTTCACGAGCCGATCGTGTGTCGTAAGGAGGAGAGGGTGATTATCGCCATTGGACTGTTATCAATTCCCTTCTTTTCCATTCCCTCTTCCATATTCTGCCGATGTGATAACAATTTTCGCAACAATAAGATGTGAAAAACTATTACCGATATTGCCTCTGCACTGATACCGCTTATCAATATTAATTCCTCTACCGATAAAATATTTCTTCAACCTGTCAACCACTGTAGCCAAGAGATTCAAGTATATCGTCACCGTTGTTAAGTTTTGAGGGGAGATATCAAAATCGGCGTCAGAGCCTTTTTTGTTCGGCTGATTCAGAATTACAAAAAAGGTTATTACGA